CAGAAACTGGCCACTGACAGATAACAAATCCAGCAATTCTGTATATCCTCTAAACTTGAATATCCTCTCAAAGCAATACCAAGATTGGATAGTTAAGAAATTAAAGCAATCCAGTGTCAGAATCTAAAGTGGTAATTCTTGTTTCCCTCTCCTCAAAGAAAAAAGTATTAGCTGCCAGGATGACCCAAAAGCTGAAATTCCGAAACTACTAGAAACTTCAGTTAGTAGCAAACACGAAAACTAAAAACTATTACTACTACACCTCAATCCTAAACCAGGTAGGATCTGCTATATAAATCTTGTATTCCACTCTGCACAATTTGGCAACTAATATGTATCGCCTATATTTGATCTTTTTCTATCCAATTCGGCAATTCCATTCCAATGTTAAAACAAATGTTTTAAAGCAAATTGAGAATCTAAAACTAGAGGTTTTTAAAATCTCACATTTATCCCTAAACTAACATACAAGTATTTAACTTGCTAAAAAACACACTTGCAATCACGGAACCTAATTTAAATATAACAACAGACAATCCCTAATTGGTATATGCTTTTTGTAAAAAATCAAGACTTTTTCACTCAGGTAAGGAGAACGAGAAAGAGAAAGAGAAAAAGAGAGAGTAAAGTTTACCCCAAGAGATTGACGCGCAAGTGAATGCTCAATTCAACGAAAAGCTCGTACATCTGACCCAAGTCAGCAGCATTTCCATGGGAATACAGTAGAGTGATGGTAGCCATAGGGTGCCTAACGTAAAGAGCGACAACTTCAGTACCTTTACGAGTGGGCAACTTAAGAACTTCAACATTTTCACGGTGAGGAAAAGGGCTAAGAAGCAAAAGACCCGTGAGATCATCTTTAACAAGCTTGTAAGAAGGTGGGTTTGGAGGGAAAAAAGCGAACTTCGCCGCCATTGATGAGGTTACCCCTCCCATATTCTCTTATTCTTTTTTATGAAACTGTGGTTACTACTGGTTGTTGATTTGGGGGATTTAGCAGAAGAATTGTGATTAAGTGCTGAAATGAAATTATTGTACGTAAGATTTGGTGGTGGGAGCAGAAGGAGAAGTTTAGAACTGGATCGACATTCCTTTCTCTTTATACTTCGTTTTGCTTTTTTGGGGTATTGAGAAATTCTAGAAGAAGGGACTTTACACTCTGGAATGTTTACTCTGCTTGACTACACGATTAAAGCTGACAAAAAACGTGGAATATAATGTGGTTATTGGTCGTTCATGGACCCACCTTTCCTCTCTCTCTCTCTGTATTTTGTGTCTCGTTTCACTTTCATTTTAATTTTAGTTGTGTCAATTTTTTTTAATGAAAGTAAGCATTAACTTAGAATAACGCAAAAGATAGAGGAGAACAAAATTAAGGATGAGATATTGAAATTGCACTCTAGTGATTATAACTTACTATAACCTCATTCTGTATTCAAGTTGCCTCCTACTTCTTTCTTATCCTACTCCTTCCCGGTCCATTTTAAGTGATTTTTTGGCTTTTTTTGTGATTCATAATATTTAATTTTTTCAGATATCAACAAGAAATTAACTTCTTCTTTCAAAGTTGCCTTTGGAGTAAAGAGTTTAGGGATAGTTTGTTATATTTTCAATAAGTAAATTAAGGTTAATATGGTCAATTTTATTATTAATTAATGCTAAAAGGTAAATTCTTTAATATGTGTGAAAGAGCCAAAAAATCACTTAAAGTGGACCGAAGTGAGTATAGATGGACCTTTCCCGTAAAAGAAAACTTAGAAAAGGGCAAAAAAGATCATAGTATTTTTTTGTCCAAGTTGAAGTTTTGCATGAACCAGTCCCCTTGTCATGTTTGGTCATTTGATTCTAAGAATTTGAAGAAAAAAAACAATCTTAAAGAAGAGAATGCAACTTCAAGATCTTTATATGTTTTAACTAATCAGGGAGCTAAGGTTTCCCTTTGCTTTAGCTCCTTCCAAAAAGATTGGGAAAATGACCAAAAAGAATGTTTCGAACTAAACTCATTTTAAAAGTAAAATGCGTATTGTTTATGCAGAATGTCCGGAATTACAGGAGGGGATGGTAAGATGCCACTTCCCTTGCCTAAAAAACTGCTGCTAATCATTGTCATGATTCCTCTACTTAAAAGAGAAGGTTGATTCATCTCTTTTTCTTTTTCTAGTCATCAAAAGAAGAAAGAAAAAAACTCATCCATTGCACCTTTCCACCTGCTTTGTAGTAATCGAGGCGGAAAGATTAAATGTTTCTCACAAATCCAAAGGCTGCTTTCTCTCTTTGTCTTCACGTCTCTTGCCTTTTCTATTTCACTCCTCATCCCTCAATCGGTTAACTTCTTAATAATGCAAGCCTTGATTAATTAACTAGCACATTTCTCACAAACTTGACGAGGATGCTGCACATCATATTGGAACAGGGTTGGGTGAAGTAGAGGCTAGCACTTGGTGTTTTATGTGATAAGAATGTGTCTCCTAAGCTTAAATGTAAATTTTACAGAGGGATGGTTAGACCGACTATGTTGTATGGGATTGAGTGTTAGCCAGTCAAGAACTCGCATGTCTAGAAGATGCGAGTGGCAGAGATAATGATGTTGAGATGGATGTGTGGGCTTTCCAAGATGGATAAGATTAGGAATGAAGGTATTCGGGCCAGACTGGGAGCGTCTCCGATGGAGGACAACATGCGGGAAATTCGGCTTAGATGGTTTGAGCATGTGAAGAGGAGAAACACAAATGCCCCAGTGAGGAGGTGTGAGAGGTTGGCGCTAGAGGGGCTGAGAAGAGACAGAGGTAGACAAAACAAGTATTGGGTGAAGTGATTAGGCAGAATATAACGTTACTTCTGCTTACTGAGGACATGACCCATGATAGGAAGGTGCGGAGGTCGAGAATCAAGGTAGATGACTAGTAGGTAGTCGAGAGTATTGGTGTTAGTCCTTTTTACCTGTTGTTCTGTTTTGATTTCTTATTATCTTGTTGTTACTGCTTGGTGCTATGGTTTATTTTATTTTATTTATTTATTATTTTATCTTTATTTTTTAACTATTTTTCGTAAGTCTATTGGAAACAGCCTCTCTACCTTTTAGGTGGAGGTAAGGTCTGCATACACACTACTCTCCCCAGACCTCGTAGAATTACACTGGATTTGTTGTTGTTTTTTGTTGTTTGTTACATTTCTCAGAAGCTTGAGAACTGGTTTGCAGCCAGTGGCTAAGATACCCCTTCGACGAGGAGTGTCATCTGACATACTTGAAACTAATACAAAGTAAACATCAATTAGAACAAACAAAACTATAGAACCTCTACGGTCCCAACAAAACTACATACAAGTTGATTTGTGATAATAAGTCGACAACTGTTTGTACAAGATTCTGCATACACCTCAGATTGCAATTCCAGGTTATTTCATTTTAGTTCATACGTGATCAAGAGCTTACACCAGGCCCCGAGTATATGATTGTTTCCTCACATCACCACATTGTTGGTAGGTCATCCTCTGTTTGGTCCACAGCACAGAATCACAATCCCAAGTACTACTAGTCCACAACATGAGAACAAGAAGTACAAAGTCAGACCAACAGATTGGTGCCGTGAAGGCACCATAGCCCCTACTCTAATACTGCAAGAAGATGCGACTCCATTAACAATATCTATTACTACAAGACAAGGGCAGTTGAGGCTTCTCAATCATATGTATAAGGAAGCTAACACTGAAAGTACATATGGTTTCCAAATCAATTGAAATAAATGCATAAATACCACAAGTAAAACCGAATTTATACTCTGGCACTAGCAGGAACCAAAAATTGGTTAGTTTTCATTTGAGGTCAGAATAACTTGATGCCCTAGGAAATGTGAGGTGATGAATTCACTTGAATGACAAAATAAAAACAGACACTTAAAAACAGCAGGGAGAAAACGGGTCCAAACAGTGCAGACAGCAGAAAAGAGAAGTTAACAGCTTCTCAGTCTTTTCCTAATCAAATTCTATCACCTAGGGCCATCAATACTTGGTTATTGAGGTAGTTGAGACTTGAGAGACCTACGCGCACTACATCTACATACAATACTACCTGCATAATTGGAAATAGTAGATCGTGTTTTACCATGTGGGGAACCATCTAGCAGCGACGTGTTCTTCTTCATGATGTGGGGGCAAGAAAACTGTCCCACAAGAAAGGTTTCTTGGACAAAACTAACATTTGAAAAGTGAAAGAAATCTCCCCTAGCCTGCCTAGGTGGAACAAAACAATCGCCAAACTGAAAGCAATAAGGCACTGAGCCAACTGAAACAAGGAGATAGCATCCTAGAAATCAGATTAAGGAAACTGGACGCTACGCAGAAGCAAGCCCAGATAGCAATGAACCACTTCAGCAGTCAAACAACTTACTTTAAGTTTACCTATAAGGCACTAGCTAGCTTAAGCAAATGTTTAGGCGATTAAAGGTACGTCACATAAGTGTAGACCACAAGATTGGCAAGAATATCAGAATACTTGTGCTATGAAAAATTGAAGTTGCAGACAAGAGATCTGTTTGGATCCCCGAGAGAGATTTCCAAAGATATGGGAGCAGCTATATATAGAGGGAACAAAGAGAGCTGAAGATCATAGAAGAATTCAGTGCCTTAAGTTCCTTATGCTTTCCCAGCAGTCCTCGCCTAGTTTTTGATCCACTCATTTATTTACCATGACTAAGTTGGAATGGTTGGGATCTTCGCCACTCTTATTTTTGTGGTCAACCTTTGTCCACTTCCCCAACTGAAAAAGTCCCATATTGTATGTGTTCATCATCCATGTCAATATAAGCGAAACTTAAGTGGCCACGATCATAAACCCCTTTTACAAAATTGGCCAAGGGTATATCCTCTACATATGTAGATATATAGATATACACACATTTGTGACCAAAAGAGAAGACCCAAACACATGTCCATGTGTGTCTCTGGGAGAGGGTGATGCCACTTCCAGGGAATTGTTTCTTTGGGGTCGAAAGACAGTAAAATCACGGATAATGCCCGCATGTTTTGCATATTTGAAATGAAAACAACATGTTGTTCCTCTTTGTTTTCTTCGAGATATGAGGCATCTTACAAAAATATTTCTTTTTCAGGAAAAGACAATAAGAACACAGCAAATCCACGAGCAGCTTGTACCTTCAAAGTATCCTGTACAGGGCACTCAAAAATCAACTACAAACATACACATATAGATTCAACTACCGAATGCTATTAGAATTTCCGACATAGGTTCGTGCAATAAAACTTCACATACAAAGAAGTAAAATCCATAAGAAGTTTCACAAGACAAACACTCAACAATTTCTTTTATCTAAATCAGTAAGCAAAAGTTTCATTAAAATCCAAAAGCCAAGGACTAACTGCTGGATATTACAAAAGAGCTTGCCATTTACACTGCTTTCATGTAATGAGCCTATAAACTTTACCAGGCTATCCACATCATTCACAAAATGTAATACCAGATAGTCTATTGACAAAGTCTCAACATTTTATCACAGAGAAGTGAAGAATAAGGAAAGGCGATGATGCAAAAGCTGATATCAGTCAAAAACAATAATTGCTTCAGAAAGTGATAACTTGCTTGACAACTCACAATACAAAGGGAGAAAACAGGAAACAAACAAAATCAGCGAGCACTCATTTCACTTAATAATCAAAACAGATATTGGACGGACCGAAGGAAACAAACAGAGATCTGCTTTATAGGTATTAAAACTAAACCTGAAGATTATTACGTGTAGTCCAAGAGCTAACACAACTGTAAATGGATCAAATGCATAATGTGATAAGAATTGACACACTCACGTTACATTGAGAACAGAGGATTAATGCCCCTTGTTTGTGAATTCGTTTGGCAACCTTTGCCACAATCTTTAGCTGCATATTCTTGCGAAACTTTGAAGGCTAAGCAATGGGAATTCTGAAGATTTCCTGGGGAAAATAGAAATGTCTCCTACGTTACCCATAGTATGTGGAAGCATCTACGTAATTTCATAGAGTGATTCAATATGAATGCTAATTGGGCTCTTCAAGCAAAGGCTTCATTATTTCTATCCTCGTTTATATGTCCCAACATGTATATGGAGCTTTTCCCATTATCAAAAAAAAATGTCTGATCATCTCTTCCAGTAGCTTGCTACATTTAGCAAATGTTATGGTCTTAAAATTGTAAGGGAGGCATTGAGTCTCATTTTCTTCTAAGATTCTGATCTATTACATGATCAGTTTATCGAGTACCCAACAGCTAGAAGCTCTCGTTTTTGACATGCTCGCTACACTGTTGACCAAACAGGAACCTTTACACATAGTATTTAGCCTTAAAAACTAATTGCTAGAACGGGATGCTTCAAGAAAATACCTCTTCATCCTTGCTTTTGGTGCAAATTTTCTAGACTTCCTCAACTCACTTAAAATGTAATCGATAATCTGAGTGTTGTTTTTGCTCCTTTTATCATCCCAACATGCTCTTATTGCTGGGATATATCCTTTACAACAGTAAATGTACTCCTCGTAAAAAATTTAACCTAAGTTGGATTGCCTAAACAGAAAAGTTCATAGCTTTTAGACGTTAAAGCAGCAGCTAAGATGTGAAAATAAATTATGAGCCCCATAAAAAAAGATGATGTACTATCTATGTTAGACTGTAAGAATCTCATCAAGTACAGGCTAATGAGCATCCCAAACACACATCATTTAACATGAATTTTCTTTTTAATTATTCCTAAAACTAGGTTCAGCAATTTCTTCGACCAAAATTGTCGATAGACCAAAAGAAAAATTACATCTTTAACCACAGCTAAACACGACAAATGCAGCCTCAATGAGAAATTCCTCACCAATGACACAATGGTAAAATACACTATGTCTTCCTCCTGAGGCGCTTCCGTAACTTCTTCAACTTGTGTTTGTTCATCTTCCTCTTCCTCTTCTTCTTCACACTATCAGCCCAAATCTTATGTGACTCATCCGCAATAACATCATCCACTTCCTCAGGTGTAGTCAACCCATTTGGAGAAACTGGATTTAGGAAATGCCCAAAAGAAAAGCTTGGATAAAACCCAACATTCAGATTTGGATCCACTGTTCCCAGTTGAGGAAAAAATGGGATTTTACCAAGCCTGCTGGAAGAAGGATGATGGGGCAAAGGTGATGACAGTATAGGTTTAGAGCTGAGAATTGTTGATCTATTAAGGTTAGTGGTGGTTTTTGCCGCTGAGAGAAGTTGGTTTCTCAGAGATTTTCGAAGAATGGAAGCCATTAGAGGCTAACAATTGCTAGAACCACGCAAGAGAAACAAAGGATTTGCTATGGAAGAAGGTGAAATAATTTTACCAGCTAGGGTTTTGCTGGGTTTTGGTGATCCCAGTACGCGAGCAAATCAAGATCCAGTTTAGTGGAGGATTAGAACATTTTAGTGTCATGTAAAATACATATTTGCCCATTTATAGGGATTGAACTGAACTAGTTTTATTAGAAAATAAATGTGAATTTCAGAAAACCAAAACCCATTATTATGTGACTTTAGCTAGGGGTGTCAATGTTTCGGTTCGGTCGGTTATTTTATAAAATTTGTACCATATTAATTTTTCAGTTATTCCACTATGTATAACCAAAATTGAACTTTTTGAAACCGTCCCTATCATTTGGTTTCTCTTCGGTATCGGTATGGTTCGATTAATTTTCGGTATTTTTTTAAATGTCATGATCATATAAAAGTCGCTAGTAAGAGTAAAATGCAATAACATACGTGCTTTTATTGGACTTAGCAAACTTCTCTAGATAGTTTTACTGTTTAAATGGTGATAAATTAAGAAAACATGAAAGATGGTCATAGTATAGATCCATCAACTACTCTACAACAGCGTAAAAGAAACTAAGCAAAGACCAAAAAAATCACACGAGTAGAAAGATATTAACCAATATGGGACTCAAGAATAAAGTCTATAGAACATTAAATATTCAAAAAGATAAATCTAAATCATACAAAAGGAAACATATTCAATACAATGTAGTTTGCTACTCATAATCGCTAGAACACCTTGTGTCTTGCTAGTGAATATGCTAGAAATAATTTAGTTTTAGTAGGAGTAACATAATAGGTTTGAAAATTAGGATTTTGCTTTTAATTATTTGTTGGCTTGTAATCATTTTTATAATTTCAAAGGTTAAGGAAAAATTTAATGCTTTATTATTTTTAAACTTAGTATATAAATATGTTTCACATGTAAATTTCTTCGGTACGGTTCGGTGTTTTTTCGGTTTATTTTCATAAAACAAAAAACTTACCCTACGGTTGTAGATTATATAAAAACCTACGATTTTATTAAAAGAAACCTAATAATCGATTTAGTGCGGTGCGGTCGGTGTAGTCAGTTTTTAAATATCCATCGATACCCCTTTTTGGTTTTTTAAACCTTTTTGTGGTCTTTAGAAGTTGAAGTATAGTGAAAATATTTTTCCACCCTAAAACTTATTCCGAAAAGTTATTAACAGTATTTAAAATTTAAAATTTGTGAATAACTCTTTATCCCATTATGCCTTGTACGACGTGTATCTATTACTTTCTTAAAAAATAATATTGGTGGATGAAGTGTTTCCACTCTCCTTGAACGTGAGAGAGGAAAAAACTAATTTGTTTCTCATTTTTTAATCGAAAGTCTTACAACCTACTATCTTAATTATTTGTGTGCTCTGTTTACTTTTTATTTATTTTTTTCTTCGGTTTTTTCTTTCTCTTTCTTTTTTTCTCATTCCCTTCAAAACATGTGCATGAGTAAGAATTTTTGTAAGCGATGTCAAAATTTATAGAAGAACAGGAATAGATAAATTTTATTATCATATTTCTAGACAAGAAATAGCATTAGTCCGTTGATTTTGTTGAGTCTTAAGTTAGAAAAGGTCGTGAGTTTAATTCTACTTAATCATAATTTTTAATCATGGAGGTTCTCTCAAAAAAGGAGGAGCATGTGCTAGGAGACAATCCATGTCAAGTGATGTCATTTCTTCCTACTTATTTGGTTTTTTACAGTATTAGCACGTATATTTAGTAAAATTTTCCGACAAAACAGTATCGCTTGACATCGCTTCGTTGAGCATGCATCTACTCCTGCCTCAAATCTTTCTCTTTCGGAAAGACCCACTTCAAGATATTTTTCCCCAGCTTAAACTTCTCGCCCAAAATTATGACTTCTCTTGTTCTTTTAGCTTAAATTTTTGGTGCATTTTATTTATTTTCCAAAAAAGAAATAAGGTTACATTAAATTGATGGAGTACTTAGTTATCACCATCTCTATGAATACTATGAAGGATAGCTAAAATTATCCTTAAGACAAAAAAAAGATGAGATAAATGCACTAGTTAAAATAAACAACCAGTTAAGCCAAGGTGTATGAGGTTCTATCCTATACTAAAGGTGGGCTACCTCCAAAAAAAAAAAACCTATACGGCTACTGAACAACCTCCCACTTTAAGGTGGATCAAATGAGATCTTAGACTTCTTCGAGTTGAATATATGAATAGCTGGTCGATTCCATATATCTCTACTGTCTAGAAATCTTTCACTTGGTTAGGTATTTGCAAAAGAACTGAAACTCTAAGATTGGTTGTAGTTGTGATTAATTGTAGCAAGTATGTCAGCAACTTAATCACTTCCTACTTTAGAGAGAATCATGACTGCTCTTTAGCACTTTTTGAGGTCTTGCACCTATCTAGGATTCTCTATGGACTATTACCTTTTCCATTAACCTAATCAACACGCAATTTAAAATTACTTTATGCTATAATGTATTGAAAGTTATTATTCAAACTCCACCTGATTCATATTGTTGGTATTATTAAATAATAATGCAAAGTAAAGATTTATTTATGGCCCCTTTTCTTTCTTATTTTTTTGTCTTTTCTGAAAGATAAAGTGGAAAATTTCTTTCTTCTCTTTATATTGAATTGCTATTTGATTGGCTTGTAAATAGTTAGTAAAAGGGAGTAGCCTCGCGCACATGAAAAATTGGTCCTGAAGGCAAAACGGATCGATTTGCCCTCCCCCTACGTACGAGATATACGTGAGGCCTAATCTAAATTTAATTTTGCAAAAAAAAAAATTTAATTTTTAATCTTACCAGCAAAGTGTCCAAATACATGCTTACAAGAATATGTCCAAATTGTTCTTTTTGAATTGAATTATGTAACGTCTAATTTATTTCTTTGTAACAGATATGTTTAATATGTTTAACCGATATATTTTAGATTTTGAAATAGCTACAGATTATTTTTTTCATCTGTAATTGTCCAACAAACTTTGCCTACAAAAGACAGTCCTCTTTATCAATTATCTAACCCGCAAAATACCTTCATCTTCTCTTCTTCTTTAGTCGTTTTCTGGGTAATTATTTTGTGCAAACTCCAAACTTTCAGCCACTAGTGCACGTGTTTGGAGGTGATGTGGAACCTGGGGGAGCGACCAACCTTAACGATTTACACCTAGTTGGGCCGAAATCGCTTTCAAGGTAGTGACTTGCCACGACACAATATTTTTGATAAGTTGTTCTTTGTTTCCTTCTTGTTCTTGGTCAATGTTATCATCTATTTTTCTAACAATTTGAAATAGATTTTACAATATTGATCAAAGGTTAGTTCTCTCAACAAAACTATCACGACACAATTACCTAGGGGCTAGGTAAGCCTCACATTAACTGAAATAAGAATAATATTTAACTAACATCTAACAATTTAGAAATATAAATCTCTATACAAATTTATATTCCCAAAATTGGTAGTACAAGTCATAAGCTCTACTGAGTTTGCTAGATAAACTTCTAAATAAGGATAAACAACATAAATACAACATCAGAAGGTGACTCCGAAGCTTGCAAACGCAGCAATAGGTTTACCTTGAGTCTCCACAGTAAAAATCTGTACAACTAGCTAACGATCGATTAACTTCGAAATACCTGGATCTGCATAAAATTTTTGCTGAAGAGTAGTATGAATACACCACAGCGATACCTAGCAAGTATCAAGACTAACCTCAGTGAAGTAGTGACGAGGAACAGTCAAGACACCTACGTGACTAAATAACATGGGCAAGTATAAGTGTAGCACTAACAGAATGCGATATCTCTATAAAACTATGCATAATGATAACGATAATATGATACTTGTAATAACAAATAGAAACAACAATTAGTAGCGGAACACAACAAGTAATAATACAGTAGAGTAAGCTTAACGCAGTCTAAATATGGTGAACACAATTAAAAGAAGGACAAGTAGCAACTAGATGAGAATAACCACTTTCACATCAGGTTTTATCCAATAATCTCCACGAGGTACCATACCTCAAAATATTCACAAGTCATGGGCCCCACTTTGTGAACCCTAAATACTTGACATCTTGTGCCCTCATTTCAACTGGTAACTGCACGGACGACTCACGTGCTAATAGAACCATTTTCACATAGAAGTCAAGTAGACGAGGGTGTGTATAAGTACTCAATAATACTAGGAACCATCTTCTTAAATCGATAGGAGTGATTAATTACGTGTATGTTTGTGCAAGTGTTCTAACACAGTTCAGGCCAACTAGTAAGTGTAGAGAAAATGAACAACACATAAGAACGTTGCCCATAATTTTTCATAAAATAGAGCTCACACAAGTAGGTACACCGCTACACAAATATCAACAACAAGAATGCCCCCAGTCCATCACAAGTCATCACAGATCAATCCCTGACATAGCCCACCTTGTCTCGCCACGTGCGCAATAATAAAGTAAATGCCCCCTTGTCTCTCTGCACGCGCATAATAACGTTCCCACCATATCTCGTCACATGCGCAACACACAGATATAGCCCACCTTGTTACGTCGCATGTGCATAATCAACAGTAACAATAGCACGGCAGAAACCTCGTGCAAACACCCGAAAGAAATATCCCAACAACATCACATGCCAACAACACAACAACACAATAGAATGGCCTTCACAACAAGTGCCCATATTTCACAATATTTCCATAAAATTTCTCAATACCACAACCGTGCATAGCCCTCGACTCAACAAACTGAGTAGCACAGTAACAGCCACAACAATACATGAGAATACGACAAGTAAATCAACCCAAGAGTTTTACAACACAGAGAAACGGCAGAACGAGCTCACAAGGGATAAACATAATAGAGATTACTTGTCATAATAAGAATAGCTCAACAAAGGAGACACAATACATAACAAATTATTTCACACATACAATTCGACATCAAGGTAGATAACGAGAGTCAATAATTTCAATTAATGATAAATAATTTGGGAAAATTAGCATGGCAATAGAAGAGGTAACAACTTCAATTAAAACACAAAAGAATCAAATAGGCAATAAGAGTGGAACATGAAGTAATTAATTCCAATTAAGACACATAGGGGTGAAAT